GGGGGGGGGGGGAAGATTTGAAAAGAAGGGCGACTGCTCCTTTATGAACATCACCAATTTGGGTCATATCGAAGTCTTGGACCATGGCAAAAATGATTTGTTTCAAATTGACGACATCGTATTTGTGCCTTCAGTAGGAGCCACCATGGGAACACATCAAATAACAGTATGTTAAACTCTTAAGAATGGAATCAATATTGGGTTCTCCAACGGCGATCATCGTATTACTGATTGGAAACTATTCAAAGAGAACTTTGCGGCCAATTTACTAGAATTTTCCGGCGTCCGTTCTGGCTGAGCTCTGATGTATCAGAGTGAAGAGGCCTTTTCATCAGGTGGTTTTTGCCTTTTGAATGCCACTTTACCAATTCGTATCAAACCCCGTGCTTCTTCACATGTTTCTAGCCCCATATATTCCCAGAGATTTACGCGTGCTGTTGTACTATGTCTTCAAAGTAAATAGATATTTCATCTTATTTTAAATTTGTGAGGAAACTGGCTTACTGAGCAAAGCTTTCTGCTGAAAAAACATGCTTTTACCTGCAAATAGACAAAACATATCTATGAATCGTGAAAATCACTGTGACGTAAGAGGTATAAAATTGAAAGCACTTAAAGAATGTGCATGCACGATTGCGAAATGCCGTCTATGTAATTACGACTATGAATGATATCGCTTCTCCGTTGGGGCAAATCGTCCAGCTTTGCACTAGAAATATAGTTCAGGAAACAATTAATATTTTTACCCTCTTATCACTCTATACCATTTTAGGGCAATCTCGTCAGACGCTTTCTTGATGGCCCGTCCCAAAACGCCATTTCTCAAATCACGTGACAGACAAATCGACAGGCCCTTTAAACCTGCGAACGTAAATCGCAAATAAATGCAAGTGCCATGTCTATGTACGATCTGATGCTTGAGTCTGCACGCCATTGCCAGCTAGACCGTGGATCCCAATCAATATCATGGTCGAAGAATGGCTTTATATGCTATGCTTTTCCCGCTTCGCTGGGTCATAATTTGAACATGACATTTCTTGAGAATACGAATGGCGCAAATTGGCTGTTGGCGGATCCACATAAATTGACCATAAAACCGCTGGAAAACAGTGCTCTACCAAATATACAGCTAGTACTGTGGAGTAATATTCTGACAGACTTGGCAATTTTTGATGAACATGGAAACTTCTACGTTTTGTTAGCGGGCGTCGGGCTTCTCAGAAGCAAGAATCAAAAAGACGATCAAGTTACTGCCAATTCAAGCTATAATAATGGCACATTAAACAAGGTCTCTACTGCAGGATCCGCTTCCTCGAATACGCAAGATTGTGAAACTACGGAAGGGCCATCATATGAACTTACTTCGTATAATCACGCGGAAATGATATACCGCGACATCGTGCAACCCAATGTTGGAGCGGAAGGAGACTGGAGATGTGTTGCTTTTGAATGGCTAGGGATTGATAAACCACAAATCATTAATAAACCGGCCAAAGCTACCGAAGATAGAGCTACATACACATACGGCGTTCATCTGTTCCAATCGCCACTTTTGGCGCATCCAATCGTCACCAAGCAGGCATGTGTGGCGCTTAGACGTAACGGAATGTTCTCGCTCTTTCATCAAGGCGAACACAAAGTTGAATATCATAAAGTATCCTTGAACTTAACTCCCAACGGTGGTGAGGAAGCGGTTAAATATACACATGCATCCATTGGTTTCACACCCGACAAAAAAATTTTGATTACTGCGTACGAAGCCATTACCGAAAAAATCCTCACTTTTTTGGTGTCTGTTGACTGGGGCTTTCTCAAAGAGTCAGCAGTTAGACAAAAGTCCGACCCCCAATATTACACACCGAAAGACAAAAAAAATCCTCCCCAGATACATGCGAGTCTTCTACATGAAATGTCTCCGTTGCCATCAATACAAGCGGAGATGGAAACCCAGGGCAAAAATACTCAATTTGAGCAATGCCGTCTCTCTCTGATTGACGTAATTTCCCCCTACCACCTGCCGGACTCGTCTTTGGATATTTTATTAAGCTACGACGTTATTGCAGCTGATAATTCCATATATTCGACCATACACAGATTTCAAGTGAAAGAGGCAGATCAGCTTCTAAGCATATCTTTTTCTTCAATGACTGGCACAGAGTCAAATTCCAAGCGAAGAGTATCAACTTTGGCATTTCAAGACAGATACAGCCTTCCGTACAAGTTGAAGGCAATTTGCACTGCAGTTTCAGGCTCAATTATGTTATTTGTTGGGGAAGACAGTACAATTACCCCTATAAATCGAGAAAATTGGTCATTACTCGAACTGGAGATCTCAGGCGTAAAGTTGGAGAATCAAGAGCATAATAAACCAGTACTCATTAATTCTCTTCTCGATTGTGGCTTCGTGATCCCTCGGCTTCAGAATGACTGTGCTCCTTTTGTGTTCGCCGTCTCGCCTAACTTGACTGGTATTGTTCACCTCACAATTGGATCAGGAGAGCCAGCAGTCTTTACTACTTTAGAACGCCGGTCCAATGCGTTGGACAAAAAAGCAATCTGTCTGGCTTTCTCACATACGCATGCACAAGCGTGCTACTCGAACACTTCATCCGACGACTTGATGGCTCTCATTCTGAAAGAGTACGAAAGTTTAGCAGATTGTCAGGCAAGACAGGAGTTAATTCATGACATTATTGTCGAATCACATTCTGCAATTAACTTCCAACTTAACTCATTTAACAAAGAATCGGTTGATAAGCTTTTATCAAACCCCCCACTTCAGAAATTACTTTCTTTACAGTTGACAATGAGCGATTTGAGCAAAAAAAAAGTGACTGGTGATATAGCATGGATAATTTTGGGGCTTCGCTCTACGAGCTTTGGTATAATGTTTTCCTTATCTTCAATTTATCGACAGATGTCAAAGAAGAAACCTGTGGAGGACAACATGGATGATTCGATAAACAGAGCTGAATGTATCATTCTGTTGGTAGGTAGTGTGAAGTGGTTCATTGATTTGCTTATTTATTTGAACCAGGAACTTTTGCAGCTTGCCTTCTCAAAGAATAATCCTCAACAATCGCTCATTACCATTGAGAACTCAGTAGCTTTGCCTATCTTGATGAGTAAGGTTCCAAGGCTTTTCCTCATGTATGCTATCACATCAATCGGTAAAACGCACGAGATTTTGAAAAAACTACACAAAGACTTAAGTGAAAGCAATAAATTGTTCACGCCTATGAAGGAGGCCCTTGAACGCTTTTTCAACACGTCAAATTACCTGCCACTAAAGCTCAGTAACTTTGAAGCTTTTTTAAGAGAATGCGACGACTACATTTCAAAAGAGCATACTTCGAAAGGAATTGATCGGGCAGCATTATTGCATTTCGAGCAACAGTTATTTTGTGATGGAAAAATTCCACATGAGATGCTTTCCATCGCACATACAATCATAGATCGATTTTTTGCCAATAATAGTCGTGATCCTAGACTATCATCACTCTTTTTTTATGATACTCGCTGGCTCGAAGTGGGGCCGACTAACATAGGAGTGAAGGTCAGGGCCAGAGGTCCGAGGAAAAATTTTGAGCCCACACATGTCCGTCTCCAATATTCTGAGACAGAGGCTATTGATGCTTTGAGGAAGGTGTTCATTTCATGTAATACACCAATTGAATCAGGAGGGACTTCACTTATGGGTCAATACTTCAACTCCACCTATAGGTTGAAGAAGTGTGTGCGATGTCGCTCTGTGTCTTTAGTTTCAGATCCTTTGGTTTTTGAATCACCAAGGACAATTGGATTGTGGACAATGGTTTTTCAAAGAAATTGTGTGTGTGGAAGCGCTTGGGTCAATTGTTCTACATGATTCCACTTAATTGATGATTGTGTACCGAGCCACGTTCTACTCTGTTTCGTGATCCTGAAGTTCCTGTGCTTCTGATACCATTGCAGAGCCAACCGGTGACATAAGAGAAGGTTCTACAACGGACGAAGGCTCCCTAACCGAAATAGCGACTGCCGCAAGCTTTCTCTTTTGCATCTTCTTTGAGACCCACCGCATGACAAATGGCATGATAGAATTTGTAACCAAACTCCAGGCTACCAAAATACCAAAATAACGACCCATGTGACCTTTCCATGAATTGAAATACGCTGCTTGCAAAAGGTGATATGAATTGTAAATTGGCATAGCATAGCCGTACCTGTAAAATTCTGGGCAGAGATAGATTGGTGAAATAGTTGGAGCCAAGTTCAAAATGGCAACCAATAAAAGACATACACCAACCATTGCAGGTTTGAGCACAATGCAGACTAGCACCAAAATTTCTATAGCCGACCCGACGGAAGACATAGTCAAGAAAGCAATGGCCCAAATTACCAAGAATCCAGAGTTTCCAAATGTTCTTGTGAAGTCAATGCCAAACGCAGTATTAAGTACCACGTAAGATAAGCTGAGGACAAAGTATGCCCCCTGCGCAGTCGCTATTCGAAAGACCACAAAGCGCCAGTCCTTAATTTTCGCTGCGACTGACTTGTGTATTGGCTCACAGAAGAGATACTGGAAGAACGTAAACATGCACAAGTATATAAGGCCAATTTGCAAGGGCGCTTGAACGACTTGCGGAATAACTGGTAACTCATCAATGATCAAGAAGTTCGGGAGAGAGGTTAACAAGGATGGTGTTTGCGAAAGGATCTGTTGAGCTTGATCACTGTCTAGAATCTCCATCCAGAATGGCGTCCACGGTCCTGTTCGCATTGCAGACACAAACGATAGGCATATTGTTTGCAAGATTGAACTCACATAATTAGTCATTGCATTATAGTCGCTCCCTGTTTCGTAAAATACTGAAAGTAAGTCAGTGGAGGGATTAAAAGACGCGTTACGCGAAGAAAGAACGTCATACATCTGTGCTGTGGCATTTTCATGCACGTAAAACGCCGCTAGATAGTGCTGGTGGTGCACTTGTCTAAGAACTTCTTGCTCAATGCTGTTGTTGTGCGCTATTGCTAAGGACGAAATCCTGGTATAATTCCACATATCAAAACTGCCATAAGCTTTCATGGTAGGTTGTTGAAAAAATTGTGAAACAATCTCGCCCAAGACCGGAGTCAAGGAACCGACCTCCGCGTCTGCTACGACAACAGCAAAGTATAAGTTCTTGTAATGCGAAGCTCTGTTGTAATATGATCCCCAATATAAGCACAATACGCATATGAACCCTGTGATCAAAAATATATAGTTTTGAAGCAAAGTCACGATTATCGAAATACGCTGAGAGAGAAATTCGTCATCCCAGAACCCAAGTTTCTTGGAGATACTTTGGATTGCAGACACCACCGTACTCCCTCTTCGGCGAACCTGTTCAAACGGCGGAGATTCTTCTGTTACTCCTACATTTTGGCCTTGGTACGTATCAGCAGAGAAATCACTATGCTCAGTGTCGTGTGCCGATTCCTCGTCGTTGACGCTTTTACTTGTGAGAGAGCGATATATGTGCTCAGCGCCAAAATAGTCTTCATATTCCAAGCCTTCATAGGGCACTCCCGATCGGCTTGTAACTCTGGAAGTCATGCTTCTCTGTGATACGTGCGTTGTTGTAGAGGTGGGCTCTGAATTCAACAGCCAGAAGGCACTCGTTGCACTAGAAAGGCGCCGGAGTACTGAGGGCTTTTCTGGTTGCGAATTACTGGCATCAAGTTGGATCGGCACAGGACCCTCCACTTCATTTGAGTCAAGTGAGGACCGAAGCGATGTAGAAGAACTCATCACGTGAATCTGGCAATGCTATCAAGGCTCGCGATAGAGTAAGCTTTCTTCTCTGATCATGCTTGTATTCAGGTGCAAAGTAGACGGAGTGCATATTTCAACTGTTTCGGTACAGCGTGATGCAAAAGCAAAGCCGCGTTGATAAGCCGCGCGATGCTGGTGATGGCCGTTGACTTGACGGCACGTTGACCATGACAACCGCTTTTCAAAACTCTAGTGGAAATGCACGCTTGCTTGGAAATGACGTACAAATGATTACCAATGTTTCCATACGGAATTCTCGGACTGGTTCGGCAATCGAAGCTACATCTTGCCCGGAGGACCAGCCTTCGTCTTTCAATGGCGAGAGTTCTGACGAGAAACAGAACCTTCAACAGGAACTGCTGTCTGACACTCTCATTGAATTATCCGGGAAAATGACTTGGAATGATTGGAAGAGACTACCTGCTCAGTATATTAAAGTTTACTTGATCATATTTTGTATGTGGCTCGGCCTCCTATCTGTTTACTGGGGGTCGTTATACCATCGAGAAGATAGGGTACAGAATATGAAGGTCTTGGTGGCGATCGAGGACTCATCATTTCAGCTTTCTAATTCCACCACAGTAGATGCTATTTTAGGCCCTTTTTTCGAAGATTTGTTGGATGAACATGGAAACTTGGCTGACTATGTCCTTGCAAATGTTACTGACCTCGCGCAGATTGCCAGTGAGAGAAACGAAACCGTGCTTCAAATCCTTGAATCAGCTGTGCATGAACAAAAATACTGGGCTGCTCTTCACATGGATCAGAATACCTCTGCACTTGTATACGATTTACTAGTATCAGGAAATACGCTGTCAACCGCTGCGTCGAGCTTAGAACTGGCCATCACTGCCGTATACGAATCAGGAAGACAATATTCTGCGCTTTCACGTTATGTCACAAAAAATATTCTCACCTTGGAATTGTTCTGGACAAGTATCAATGCACCTTTGGCATATGGTGCTATCGTTCAATCATACTTGGACTCGAAAGAGCAACAAGAGCTTATTAGACTCGCCAATTCGTCTTCTTCAGGTGCCTCGTTCTCATACCTTCCACTTTTCAACCTCATTGATTTGCGCCCTGCCGCATCCTCAGCTGTCCTCGGTCCATCTGAGCTTGGCTTGATTTACGCGCAAATATTCTCCTTCCATCAATTCAATTTTTCTGCCAATCTCCACAATTCCGTTAGAGAACGACTTCGCTTTCGTGACTTTCTTTGGTACCGAATAGCATTTTCCCAAGCCAACCACATTGTATTAGCTCTCGTCTACGGATTAATGACTCTTGCCTTCAAAGTACCAATAAATTTAGCCTTTGGAAATTCGGGATTCTTGGTACTCTGGGCAACGATGTATTTGTTCATAAGCGCGAGCGGTGGTCTCAATGAGTTTGCTGGCACACTCATCACCTACTACGACAAAAAACAATTTCTTCCACCTTGGATAATCAGTACAATAGTGTTCAATATCGCTCCTACTTTTGCTCCATTTGTTTTGTCACCTGGATTTTACCGTTATGGCTATGCCATGCCTATGTTCAATACGTATGAAGCTTTGAAAGTGGTATTTTTTGATACATGGAAGGGTACTTTGAGACGTAACTATGGCGTTTTGACTGCATGGGTATTAATTACTAATATTGCACTATGCTTTAGCTTGAGATTCATTTCAAAACAGCCATTTAATGCAGAAGCAAAAAAATAACCACTTTCACAAAGCTAACACTTTAGTTCAACGTCCATTTCTAGAACCAATGAACAAGCAAAACCTTTAACTAGAGACCATTTGGAATACTGAAACTTGTGAGCCAGAATGTGAGCCAGAATATCCATAAATCTTTACTACCAATTAAGACGATTTCAAATCCATAAATCGCTCAAAACCAAATACTCCAAAGCTCGAGCAAGACTAAGATCAACTCTGCATGCAGAATGTAGGCAAAACAAGAACGTGAATCTTATGACGATAAGCCATGCAGATGCATGTACAACGCGACTCATGCTCGAGAAAGAAAAATGTATAGGGCTGAGATATTTTCGCGAACAATTTGATTTTCAGAAGTCAAGTTGATTTTGTAATAAACAAGAAACGATCAATTCAAACTAAAAAACTTAACCGTCAAAAAGCGAACTGAAGGAAAAATTATTGCACGGCTAGAAGAGGTTTCAAACCAATACTTGAGAATCCTGATCAAGGATCTCCGGCGTGCCCGGATGAGATCATCAAGAAGCCAAATGTAAGCATACTAATATACACATGTCTAATACAACGTTTTCCGACTTCGGCTCTAGTTGCCTATGCAAGAAACTACTTTTTAAACAACAAATATGAGTCCCAGTCATTACGAAATCTCGTGCCTGGTCGGCTGTGCAAAATCTGCACTCTGATATGCTGGGGTGGATTTACGAAGATGTCAATTTTAATGAATTCGCGGCTTGTGGATAGTCGGAGCTTCCCTAGTAGTATGATGTCAAATGGGGATTTTGGGTATGCCGGGGTGAATTAGAATGATCCCAATTTTCACAAATTTGCGTCACGTGGTTGATCAGAGCTTCACAAGTGTGATGATGTCAAATCTGGATTTCTCGTATGCTAGGTTAAATTTACAAAAATAACAATTTTGAGGGTTTAGCTTTATGGGCTTGATCAGAGCTTCACTAGTAAGATGATGTGATTATTGAACGATTCGGGTTATTGAAGCAAAAGTCTTTTGATTGGGTCATGTTGGCTAGCGTTGTTTTGCGTTGTTTGAAATGGTTTTATAATTTTTTCTTTGGAAGAAGTGCGTGGTGTTTTCTTCTTTGATAATTTGATTTTGGTTGAGATGAAATTTTGTCGAATTGGGACCTAGGGATGATTTGCTTATTGGATGAATGTCTGATGTATGTAGTGAGGAAGGTTAAGGGTTTTTGGATTTCCTCGTATTCAATGGTTTGTGGTGAGAGTTTTCTCGTGGTCTATCCTTTTTTTCTGGAGGTATGTTAACTGAATGGTGGATTTGGTTCGCAATCTTGATTGAGTGACGAGGTATTAGCGACGATGACCTGGGATTTTGTTGATGGGTTTCCTTTCGCTTTTCAAAGTTTTAACTGCATATCAGCAAAATTGTTTTGCATTCAGTATTTTGAATTCATTTGTCATTGATTATGTCGGGTGTGACTTTTAGTCACCACACATGTTTGTCAGAAGTTTGTTTAAGCTTTGATTTATGTCTAGTAGATTTTATGTGGACAGTATGATTTGCTGGTGGTTTTAAGGTCTTGGGAAGGTCAACTCAACTTCTTTATTCAAAAATCCAGCTTTCCTTGCGAATTGTTTTGAATGATAGTTTTGATCGACGCATAACAGGGACCATAATTCTATCTCCTCGGCAACTGAGGTTAATTTTGAGGCTGAATGAAATTATTTTTTATTTTCTCTAGAGTTGCTTTGATGTTCAAGATTGGAGACCATGCGGAATCATACCGACTTGCATGATGTATCCCGAAGATGATTTCACATGAATATGTTCAATTTTAAAGTGAGACAAAACAAATGTTATTATCCTTGCAAAATGAAACGAAAGGACGTATATCTTACCTCTGATCCACCTGACTATAATATAAACTATTTTCGGATGAAGATGTGATCTTGGTAATCAAAATTTCATTACAAGATTGAAATGGTCTCTAATTTCCAGGAAACGAAATTATGAAAATAATCTTTAAACCAGATGGATAGAAAATATGAAAGTATACTGACTGTGGATTTCACATTAATGCACGGAAACATTTGTCGCCTTTACTGCACGCCTTTACTGCATGATATTTCTGAGGAGTATCAAAACAAAATTTGTTAACAAATGTAAGGTTCTTGATATAACCTAGAGAAAGATAATCTCTATAAGCGTGTATTGTTTGCCGCAGTTAGAGTCAAAGGTGTGATCAGTTAGGGAAATCCCCGAACTTCTGTGTCGTCTATATTCGTGGGCCTTTGAAGGTTTTCTAATAATACTTTAAGTTCATGTTTTAATTTCACACTGTTCGTGACATATTCTAGTGAGAGGATTCTGATATATTGTATATTGTACGTGTAGAGCATTTAAAGGGGGGCTGGCTATTTTACTACCGTGAGTTTGAGAATATGAATGGCTTTCATAAGATATCCCTTAACTGTTCGCATTTTCACTTGGTTAAGAACCGAAAAATTTCTAATTTAAATTCACACTACCAACTTGTGACAAAGTCTCCGGAATTATTTCTTAATACTTGATTAGGTGATATTAAAGTACTTCACTCGTGACCTCAACTTGCGGCTCAAGGTTTGCCAACCTACGGCCATTTTCCATTTCGTAAAGACAACGCGACAACCCACTTTTCCAAGATCCCAAATCAACATTTCGATGCAAAAGAAGTTGTCGTATGGTTTCTTTTTTAGAATTCCAAATATCCCTATTTGTCATTGTACGATCCACTGTGAGAAGGTATGTCAGAACAAGGTACGAGAGTTCCGCTAGCAAATATTGAGCAGAATAGTCGGAAAAAACCATCACCTTCATAAATTCAAAAAGAAATTCTTTCTGCCAGTCTTTAACATTCTCCACTGTGAGCATATTCTTTTCAACTAGTAGATTGAAAAAGCATTCATCCTTTATGAGCGCAGTAATACAACCGGTGACAAATGCGCTGCCTGACCGGATATCCAAATCACTAAAATGCTTCAAAAACATATCTTCCTTACCAGCAATGTTATTGAGATTAATCCGAGAGAAAAACTGGTAGCTCGTTGGTTCATTTTCATCAATTATGTCCACGCCTGGACGAGATAAAACCTCGAGGCCAAATTTTAACGACTCGCCCTTGCTATTGAGAAGATGAGTGAAAATATCCTGATATGAAGATAAAAACTCATTGGCGAAATCTTGTTTGGTTGTTGGACTGGGGTGGTTTGATAGTACATATTCAAAGAGGTCGGAAATAAATTCTTTTAACCATGAAAACGGCACTCTGCCAATCCACTTCGAGTATGTTGAGGCCATAAGCAGAAGACAGCTTCTAGAACACACTTGATTGTCGAAATTTAGCACACTTTGAAATTTGACAGAGAATAATTCTGCGCCCCACGGCTGATTTGAAAAATCGATAGAAACGAGAGCCTCCAACAACATAAAGTGCTTACAGATGTACATCTCAGAGGGTAGCTCAGTCTCCGAAATATTGGCTAGAAATTTGAATTTCTCTGCCGAAAGAACACTAGAGTTTGCATGTGTGGTTTCCTGAATCAAATCACAAATGTAGGAAGAAACAGCAAATTCCGTATCGTCCTTAACAATAAAGTCTTCAGCAAGACCATAAATGAGATCCGTCCCAGAAATAAAGCGTAGCACAGCTTCATCTTTTGAAAGTCTTCTTTTGAGAATTCCCAAAGTAAAAGCCTGAGTCTTGGGGTCTTTCAGGCATTCTAAAATTGTCTCCTTGGAGATGTACACGCAAATCTCCTCAAAACCCAACGGGGCAAGAAGTCTGTCTAACAAGTCCACATATGGCTGTGATGAGCTGGGTATTACACGGAGAAGAAGTTGCACGAGGTTGTTAATGACAGGGTTGTATATAGAATCGCTATCCGAGAACGAATAAAGTGAAGGAGTATGGAACTTGATACCCATGGCAAAATCATCGACAAGGGCCAAATCTTCATCCTCCTCTCCGTTTCCCAACCCACGGAGATGTGAGAAGAAGGCCTCTGTTTCGTCGTCGATGTTTGGGAGTTGAAGCATTAATGATCTTGGGTATACTCCGTAAGATTGTTTGGGTTCTTTAGTGGTGCGAAGGTATGTGCGACGCGGCAAATTGTGGTATCATCCCAAGAAGTCTTGACGAGAAAAAATTGGCTTTTGAAGACTTCATTCCTCAAATTTTTTACCATTGGAGGACAAGTAAAGCTGAATGGAGTCCAACATCGATTGACTCTAGATCAATTTGCATGCTCGTGATTACTGATGCTAGATACGGATGTATTACAGTTAGTAGTGAGAGGTCACGTGCAAGATTCTGTAACCAGGGATCTGTCCAAGACCAGCACAAGGAAGAGGAATCAGGCCAAGTATTCAATTTGAAGCTTCTAGCACCAAGAAAGGCATGTATGATTTTGCAAGGCTCGAAAGTCACTTCTCTTGATTTGAGACAAAAAAATTCAAAGTTTCCTACTGGCACGTCTCGCTTCTTTACTTGGTAGACTGGCAGATTTTCCGCATTACGCTGAGTAATTATGAGCAAATGCTATAATGCATACACCATGGAACAAAATGGGAAAAGCTCGTGAGGACAATCCTTGAAGTTAAGCGAACTATCTAAAACAGACGTATCACAGTAAGATTAAGCAAAACAAGAGACAACCAGGTGCCAGGTCTACACGTACAGCGCCATGTACATCATTCTAGATAGGCTAATTATACACATAAAGCGTAGATCAGCGGACTTGAAACGATTTTGTTTTTAGAAAAGTCTGTGGGTCTTAGCGCTTCTCTAGTGAATATACAACCAAGCCTACTATAATGAGACGAGACGAAACGTAGGTTAATCGTTTGAAAGACATGCTCCCCATAGACTGCACAAATTAAAACTGAGTGCAGTCTTTTTAAAAAAAAAATCACATTTGGGGAAAGGACCACATGTGTGCATGCACAAGACAGCCTCATGTAGGGCCTTTACGAATTTCTTGCAACGAAACCAAATGCTGCTGCATTGATGAAAATATTTTGCTCTATCGTGAAAGTGACTATACGGAACTTTTGTACCATGAAATGCAAATGTCCGGTCTTGCATGCTCTTGCCTTTCCACTTACACTGAGCAAAGGGAAGTATGCACACCAACAGGGCAGGAAGACTCAAGGAAAAAGGCTTTCGAAATGAGTACACTATCCGGTATATAGAATAACACTTCTATTCACACTTCGCGACAGAGAAAGCGACTTTTGAGGGTTGTGAGCTGCCGTGTTAGTTTCTATCTAAAGACAAACCAAAGGAAAAGACCAATTCTGAAAACAGATATGGAGGCATATATCTGCTAATTTCAAGACTCACAGGGCCGGAAGGAAATTTGGCAGCTCTGAAGACCAAGTAAAGAGGCTGGGAGGCGGCGGACCAACGTATACCCATTTGAGTCCATAGTGGAAAACGCAAGCCGGTTAAAAACATCCCTGCATTTGCATATATTGTCGACTTCACACAAGCAGAGGATGCGAACAGCCCGATCCAAAGAGCAGTACCGAACAAATCAGATTTGCTCATGAAACCTACGTGCCACCATGTCTGCAGAGAGCTTTGGCAATTAGCCTTGGTGTGCATGGAGGTATTTGGAGTGAATAGGATAGAACTGACTTCAAGATGAGATGCCGCACGTTCTAATGTACATTGCAAACAACTGATTGGATTGAATGTCTTTTTTTTTTTATGAAGTAGGCATTTCTCTGCAGAGAAAGTAGATAAATATCTTTTTGTCCGTCGATAGAGCGCCTCTTTTCCTCTCGCATGTTCCATTCCGCCGCATTGCCGAAGTACGCTCTGAGTTGATATCACCGCACGTAAGTCCAAATACTGTATGTAGCAGACAAAGTTCAGATGCAGAGGCGCCCGAAACATAATAAAGAAACCACGGGCACAAGTAGACTCGGCAACCAGTGATGAACACTACTTGTGTCCTCATATAAAACCTATGTCATTTTTTATTGTGACAAACTGAAGCGAAAAAACCGAAGAACGATGTGTGATTTTTGAGGAGAAGGGGAAATATGCCAAGAAAATAGTTTTCTCTTTTGAGCCGTACCGCGCTTCGGTTAGATGTATGCAGTCTACACACACTGGACATCATCAGATAAACTTTTCTTTGTTTATCTACTGATCCTTCGTGTCAGCCTGGTATTTTGTGGTCCTCATTCGTTGTGGCCTTTTGTTCCCAGCTTGGTATCCACCTGCGCTCATAGCAATTATCTTGCAAAGACAGTTCTAGTCGCTGCGCATCATCGACTCTTATCTAGAACCTCCTTAAATGTCGGAACACACAGAGTTATCCCAACCGACAAAGTCTTTGGAAAGCTTACAGACCGATGGAAATCTGCATGACACGCCAGAGACTTGGATTCATGAAAAAGATGCCAAATGTACCTCATCTACCGGGAGCATTGATGAAGGGAAAACTGAATCAACTCCAACCATTCAGACGGCTGTCGAGAGTACAGCTTCGAAAAAGCCACAGCATGACGCCAATAAGGCACTTCTGCGAGATGCATCACCACTGTTGTCGGCCAGCGAAATTACAGATATCGCCGTGAGGCTATTCAATGAGAAGTTCGTGCTGATCAGCCCAGAAGAGTACACGCAGTTCTTGGCGGCTCAGGATCCGGATAGTACCGCGATAAGAGAATGCTATATGGGCTTGTTTGATTGGGATGCAAGCTTAGTTAAGGCCACCCGAAAGTTATGTCTGAAGCTCTACTTAAAAGGTGAATCCCAGGAGATAGACCGTCTTCTCTCCGCATTCACCAAATCCTATCTCAAGCTACATCCAGTGAACGTGTTCTGCACGCAAGACTTTGAGCAGATCTACATCGTGCTATACAGCTTGATCTTGCTTAATACGTCCTTGCACAACTCTGAGGTGGGCAAGAAATCCAAGCTCTCGCAGGCAGATTACATTCGGAATACACTCACGACGTTTCTCCTGCAGAACAAGAAGGCATCGCGGGCCTTGTCTGTGAAGCAAAAAATCCAGATAGAATGTGAGCTCAACACTTACTACGAAGACTTGTCGAAGAGAGAGCTTTACTTGAAGAAAGGAGAAAGGCCCGAGAAGCCCATGGCAGACGCAAGCACCAACAGGTACTCTGTTGCCGAGACCATCCTCTCTTCTGTTTCTAGCAACCACAGTGAACACGCTTACGAGACAGCCACTTCATCGGCGTTTGCCAATGGAGCAGTCGAGATGGTCAACTTGTCTCGACAGCCTTCCAACGTCTCCACCTGGTCAGTGGACTTTGACGGCAAGCAGCGCCCGTCTTTGGCAATGAAGCGCATTTCATCAGCCATTTCCACAGGATCTTCGAGCTCAACCGTCATGACCAACACCCATGTCAATGGCCATAGTCCTGGCAACGCTTCCCGTTTTGGTTTCTCGCGTGCCCTCTTGTCTGAAAACGCGAACAATAAAAGTGTGCATTCGTTGCGTAACTACAAATCAAGAGAAAAGTTGAGGCACTCTTCGCGGGTCTCCATCAGCACCAAGGACACTGGCTTGACCCACAAATACTCCCCAGATGACGCTTTTTCCATGATTTCGTTCGGAGACATGCCCCATCTTAATCTTGGGCACGAGCCGGAACCAGACCAGTGCAAAGTGGAAGATTTTGATATCGCAGGCTTCCAGGATCCCTTGGACTTGAAACTAGAATTACAGGGTGCGCCTTACCTCAAGGAGGGTTTGCTCAAATTGAAGATATTGAATAATGACATGGCTGACCTGGCCAGTCCGGGAGAAGTGAATACGTCCCCGGAATCTCTGGCTTTATCGATAATAGCTGCAAAAAGTGGGTTCTTCTCCTTCTTTCTGCGGGATAAAGGCAAAGACACTGCTACAGCGGCCACCCTCGGAACAAGCAACAACCCTGTCTTCAGCCACAAGTTTACAGAGTATTTTGTTGTGGTGTCTAAAGGAGAGTTACGTCTTTACTCGTTTGACCCAAAAGTAGTTAAGAAACAACAAGATAAATTGAAAAAGGTGGAACGAAAGCATGCGTTTTATGAGTTTGATAAGGCGGCTGGCGAGGAAGATGACGACGTCGGAGACGGCAATTGGCTCAACAATGCTGCTCACATTGGAAACTACAACCTATGCTCGACCTATGCTCAGCTCGAAAGAAGCATTCCTGGCCACCAAACTTCCTCAACTTCCTCGCAAAAAGTCATTTTTTCTTTGTCCTTTCCAAGAGTTTCGAAGAGGCTTCCCAAAAAGTTTTTATTTGAAGCGGGGACAACGGAGGTAGCGAACGAGTTTATCAACACTTGCAACTTTTGGGCGTCCAAGCTCACCGCAGTCCCAACTCTTGAGGAGAGTATGTCCTCAATAGAATATGGGTGGACCAACCTCGATGCCTTGATTCTGATTGGCGAGGCATTCAAGAAAACAAAATTGATATCGAAATGGGAAGCACTCCCAAAAGGAGTATATCTCAGCAACTTGAGCAGTTTGGAATCAAACATAGGCTCCAGCTACGCAAACCACGAAGGTATGCTGAGACAATTTGCCCAGACATTGAAGTACTACAACAACTTGAAAACATTGTTTAATGATTTCAACCGACAAAAGTATCACTTCATGAAGCAATTCCGCAAATATTCAAACACCTCCAACTACAAACTCGTCATGTCCAACTACGAAAACCGAGCCCAGGAATACAAGGCTGAATTCAGCAAGTACAAGACCTACATTACAATGCTCGGGTACGGCTTGAAAATGCGCTTTGATCTCGAACAGCAGGAACAAATGATAGATTGGGCCGAGGAGATTCTGGGCTTGCCAGAAATGGAGACGCCAGAGGCAATTGCCATCGAGATCGCTAAGCGCAGAGAGGAGGCCGCGGAGTACGAGTCCGAAGTGACCAAAGCAGTCAAGGCCGAGTTGGAAAGACTCATGGATTCACCTGCTTTAATGAAGAAACTAATCGACGACAAGATCCACCCTGGAATGCCTGGGAGCAGCGGCTCACAACAGAGCATGAACAATTCGGTCAATCGTTCCGAAGAGAACACAACAAACCCGTCGTTGGTGAAATCTCCCAAAGCCTTTAGCTTGGCTCATTTCGAGTACCCTCCGAACAGTCCAGTGAGCCAGTTACTTTCGGCAGATAGATCTACTTTTTCCAGTGAAAATGGAGAGCAGCAGAATCTCAACTTAAAAGAAATGACCAAGAGCTTTAGTACGAACACCATTGAAGAGGAGGATGAGACTGAAGAAGCTGAGAGCATGTCAAAGACCAAACAGTGATTTTCAACTCGACGACTACTGCAAACGGCGAGGGCTTCTCAGGCCACATAATGCGTATATCTATTAATTACATGACTACCATAGCAGGGCGACCACAGCAGACTTAGTAGCCGGCAGGAAAAAGCGGCATAGAAAAAGAGAAGATTGAATGGCACGCGCAACATGAGGATCAATTCGTGTATTGCAGCCGCGTGAACCACACGTCACGTGACCAGCGAACCCACTATGAGAAATCCGCCACTCGCTGAAGCGCTCGGACATAGAGCACAAGCCAACTATCCCACAGAGTCCCAATCTATTGGCATCACTTTTAATTTCAATTGTCCTTACTACTGCATCATCAGAATACCAGACACACATACTCACACTTCTCCATGTCTGACCCAAGCTCCATAAACGGTATGTCAGCCATAGTGAATAGTTCATATATTCAAACAAGTTACTAACCAATTCACAGGAGGTTCTGCCGTCGCCATGGTGGGCAAAGAATGCATAGCCATTGCATGTGATTTGAGATTAGGCAACCAGTCCTTGGGTTTGGCCAACAACTTTGAAAAAGTGTTCCAGTTTGGGGACAAAACATTCTTGGGGTTGACGGGCTTGGCCTCCGATGTGCTCACTTTGAAAGAGGATTTCCGATTGAAGCACAACTTATACAAATTGCGTGAAGAGCGCGAGATCGAGCCCAAAACTTTGGCCAATTTGGTCAGCTCGTCGTTGTACGAGAAGAGATTTGGCCCATACTTTATTGGCCCCATTGTGGCCGGCTTGGAGTCCAAAACGAACAAGCCGTTTATCTGCGGGTTCGACTTAATCGGCTGTATTGACTTTGCCAAAGACTTCATAGTGAGTGGAACCGCCTCAGACCAGTTGTACGGTATGTGTGAGTCTTTGTACGAGCCCGACTTGGAACCCGAGGATCTTTTCGAGACCATCAGCCAGGCCTTGTTGAATGCTGTTGATAGAGATGCATTGTCTGGATGGGGCGCTGTGGTTTACGTGGTCACAAAGGACAAGGTCGTCAAGAGAGTGTTGAAGACTCGCCAAGATTAAGGGTTGCTGTTGGTCATCACTATATACATTTAAACTTCTACCCCGAAACAAATACCTTCTTTCTGCCTCCGGGAAGATAAATATTTCGTCTACTCTTGTCTTTTCTTGGCCTCCATCTCGATCACCTTCTTCAAGTATCCGTTTTTGCCGTACTTCTCCTCTTCGATCTTCCTTTGTTTTTCCTTGACTAGTTTCTGTCTTTCCTGGCTGAGACGGATCCGCTCACGAGAGTCCTCGACTCTAGTCATGTGTAGGCATTTGGACAACTCGTCTTTTTCGAAATTGCACATTCCCATTGCTTGCTTCAAGAACTCGCTCTGATGGCACTTTTCAAGGGCGTCCATCAACTTCTCGCACGTGTCGAACCGATTTTTGTCTAACTGAGGATGCATTTTTTATATATGATATTAACTAGAAATGCTCTAGATACCGGTGATATTTTTAGTTATGTTCCGGGTGCTTGTGGCGTTTCTAGCTGTGGTGGTAGATGCCTATAACGTACGATCATGACCTGGGTGGGGCCATCATACAGGATCCGACTCCGGAGCAGTGGCAGAAATTTGCGGTTGTATTAGGTAGAAATCAAGTAGAGGAGTGGTGGGAAATAAAAGTAAAGTCTATCCTTGTTTTGCAGTCCATTGGCAAAGCCCCTCCGCTCGAAATATATACATATTGCCATGTGATACTGCTATGTTGAAGTGAGCTTCTTTGTTTCGTTGCCTCAGCATATCTTGGCAGATATGCACACCTAGATATTGGTGGTTTTATTTTTTACCCTTGTGGAAAAGATCACAAAAAGATGGCAAAATGGGATTTAAATATAGCTAAACAAGAAGTTACATGACTTGAAATAGACCAGGGCATCATGCGAGCAGATTCTGCGTGAGGCAAGTGTTTCATAGAAAATTTGTAGCAATTTTACTTCATGTGAATATGCTTGTTTCTGATGTCTGAACTAAGAGGCAAGCGTGCGAAAGGCCGTAGTGAATTCCTCATATGCATTAGCAGAAGACCGAGAGAGGATGTTTGAAATCTGCTTGATATGATGATTTTCTGAGGGATCTTGTGGCAACTTTCCATTCAAAGATGTTGGTCTAAAAATTAAGCTAGGAAAATTAATTGCAGCGATGCAATGAAACAAACGATTAAGATACGAATGTTTTCAGTAATGCCTTCAAGAGACCAGCACTTTTCAGATACACAGGTCGAACAAGCAATTGGAATCACCAGGAAGAAAATGAACAAAAGACCTGTGATCTAAGAAGACGAATTTAGTGATGCATCGTGGAGGTAACGTCAAATACAGTGGTGCTCTTGTGTGTATTTTTGTCAGGGATAGCGAGCTTCGAAATAGCTCATTTTGGAGAGAAGAAACGGTATTTTGCTCAAGTTGCAACAGTTCAATGTTTGAAGATTCCGGGGCATGTGTTTCTCGCATTTCAGACGTGTCTCAGAAGTTGATATTACAATGAACGTGCCCCAAATCGTGAATATACGATAAACCATGGAAAAACTTCTTAGTGATGTCCTTCTAATCGTCGCTATTGAAGACGTTGCCTCTGTTTTCTTGGTTTCCAGCACATTCCTAGAAAATTTGCTGGGGGAGCATTTCTCGCTTTAGATCCATTGAATTATGTGTATTTACGGTTTTTACACCTCTGGCAACATCTGGCGGAAGGTGCCTTTGTTGAAAGTGTCTGTAAATTATTGCGAGAATTTGTGACACGAAGCAATTGCAATGTTGTCTTTGGCGCCTGAGCAAAATACAGTATTTCTTTATCCAGAGAGAATACTGATAAACGGGCCCAGCATGAAAAAGGAGATATATAGGGGCAATGAGCCTAGACCGAAAACAAGGAGCCGTTGGAATTCGATATTCATCCTGGATCTTGATTTCCATATGAGCCCAGTGGCACAATCTATGTGTGAGGTAGCGACACAAGCTGAGCTCTAAAAATCGATAGTGATACGTTAGATCGCTATACTATAATGATGCAAGCTCTTTCAAATTCGTGTTACAAGTTTTGAACCCCTCACATCTATTAAATCACACCTTTTTTGTAAATTGCCGGAATGGGGCAGTCACGCAGTTCCAGTCAATATAAATCAAGAAGGGAGACGGCTCCAAACTCACGTATGGCGAAAGCTCAGGAGTTAGCTATTTTTCAATTGGAGCAAACCTCTGTCCTCTTGATAAGCCAGTAGCATATTTAGCGTGCTCACCTAACGCAGTACTCATATATTAGCAGTACATTTCAAAGATGAACAGAAAAAGACACTTTGAACGAATTGAATGCGCTCAAAATTGGCTCCAATAATACCACGGTTGATGTTTGATCACATATAATGTGAGCTTATAGTCAAAAACTTGGAAGCTATGCGTTCTCGAAGGCTGGGTTCTCTGAAGTCTTCCATGGTTGCGGCAGGCCTAGATACAAATTCTAGATGCCGTTTTACATCAGCGAAAATGGCGGTCACTATAAGAAGAGGGGTAATGAGCAAACGCTAGAGTCCACCCGAAGTTGATTTTTTCAGACACAAGCCATGAAGCCGAGTCAGTGGAAAGCCATAATACTACGTCCTGCGATTTGAGAAAAGGGACTAGAAAAGGACCGAACCCATAAGCAATAGAGCCTGGCCAAGACAGTGTATTGTGCTTATTTCTGAAACAAAAAGATAAGGAAAAAGGAAAAAAAAAAAAACTGACTGTAGTGGGAAATGGTATGAGTAGTTTTATTCTTATTTTGATATCACAGCTGGAGGATAATACCATCTCGACATTTACGCACAGTGACTCCATCACAGAAATCCCTTTCCTCCTAGAAATCGGCACATACATCAATAGAACCTAGTAAATTAAGTTGGTGTTATTTGTTCAAAAATACGTGGTCAGCGTCAAGGTCTTCCTTGACAACGGACAGAGACACCCCGTAGTGGTGAGCACGGTTTAACGATTCGTTCAAAACGAAACGGGCTAGACTGCTCATTTTGCAGATGCTGAGCTCACTCGAACAAAAAAAAAAAATTAAAAAAATAGGTCGGGTTGTGTAGAACGGTGCCATCGAGTTCCATAGAGGAGCGATCTCCATGAGTGAGTATAGAGCCAGCCCAGTACTACAAGCCTAGAAAGGGCGCCTGGAGGGACATGAACTTGGCTGCCGCATAGAGAAGCCCCGCCATGCAGGACCCCGCCGCGCACGTGACCCGGCGCCCGTGCCGTGTTCACGCCAGTCAGCCCTGGACCGGGCTGGCCGGCCATTTCTGGCCCTCACCGCCCAGGCCCTGGCCTCGCCGCCGCCAGTTTGCATCCGCCACCGCCCCACCTGCGGTCACGTGACCCGCCGCGCGCGCCGGACGTATAGTTCCGGCGGATCGCTTCGTCCCGCGGTGCGCACCCACGATGCGCCAAAAAACACCCTCCGATAACCGTGCGCTTGCTCGGGCTTCTTGTAACTGCTCTTTCTTGTTTTCAGGCGGAACTCCCACTAGACAACAAAAGAAACATAAAAAATAGAATGCTTCGTCACGGCGCCATCCGCCCCTTGCCCCGTGTTTTGGCCACCAGCGCCCAGCGCGGCTTGGCCAGTGCTGCCAGCGACTTGGTCAACATCCAGTTGCCGGCGTCTTCCTTCGAAGGCTACAACTTGGAGCAGCTCCCCGACTTGAGCTTCGACACCGAGAAGGACAGCTTGTTGAAAATGTACAAGGACATGATCATTGTCAGGAGAATGGAGATGGCCGCGGACGCGTTGTACAAGGCCAAGAAGATCCGCGGCTTCTGCCACTTGTCGGTGGGCCAGGAGGCCATTGCCGTGGGCATCGAATACGCCATCACGCCCAAGGACACGGTGATCACGTCGTACCGGTGCCACGGCTTTGCGTTCATGCGGGGCGCGTCCGTCAAGTCCGTGTTGGGCGAGTTGATGGGCAAGAGGTCCGGCGTGTCGTACGGAAAGGGAGGCTCCATGCACATGTTTGCGCCCGGCTTCTATGGCGGCAACGGAATCGTGGGTGCGCAGGTGCCGTTGGGCGCGGGCTTGGCGTTTGCGCACAAGTACAAGGGCGAGAAGAACGCCACGTTCACCTTGTACGGCGACGGCGCGTCCAACCAGGGCCAGGTGTTCGAGGCGTACAACATGGCCAAGTTGTGGGACTTGCCCTGCGTGTTTGCGTGCGAGAACAACCGCTACGGCATGGGCACGTCCGCGTCGCGGTCGTCGGCCATGACCGAGTACTACAAGAGGGGCCAGTACATCCCCGGCTTGAAGGTCAACGGCATGGACATCTTGGCGTGCTACCAGGCGTCCAAGTTTGCCAAGGACTGGTGTGCGTCGGGCAACGGGCCCTTGGTCATGGAGTACGAGACCTACCGGTACGGCGGCCACTCCATGTCCGACCCCGGCACCACCTACAGGACCCGCGAGGAGGTGCAGCAGATGCGGTCGCGCAACGACCCCATTGCCGGCTTGAAGGCGACTCTTTTGGAGTTGGGCATTGCCACGGAGGCCGAGATCAAGGCCTACGACAAGGAGGCCCGCAAGTACGTGGACGAGCAGGTGGCGGAGGCCGAGAAGGACTCGCCGCCTGAGGCCAAGATGGAGATCTTGTTTGAGGACGTGTACGTCAAGGGCTCCGAGATCCCCGAGTTGAGAGGCAGAATCTCCGACGACACCTGGAACTTCGAGAAGAACGCGTTCTCCAACCACGTTTACTAAGCGTATATAGTTGGTATTCTGATACAGCACACGGATAGCACACGGGTCGTAGTACGGGGGTATGGGGTAGTAGTATGGGATAGTGGCACGGGATAGTAGTAAGGATAGTAGCACAGGATAGTAGTACGGGATCGTAGCACAGGATAGTAGTTGGGCTCATAGCACAGGATGGTACTACAGGATCTTAGCACAGGATAGTCGTACCGGATAGTACTACATGATAGTACTACAAGACAGTAGTATAGGATAGTTATACAGCAAGTACCACAGGATATTACTACAGAATAATACTACAGGATAATAATAGGGATGGTACTACCACAGGGTAGTACCACAGAATAGTACTACAGAATAGTAGCACAGGATATTAGTAGAGGATATCAGTACAAGATAGTACTAAAGGATAGTACTTAAATGTAACATATAATGAATTAATAACAGTAGGTTTACAATTTTACACAGAATATGCTATATTATTAGTTATAACGGGTGTAACATTAATATTAAGTGTTTTAGGGGCTATATCAATAGTAAAATAAAAATATGTTACAAGTAATAGAATTATGAATTATGTGTATCTCATTTTCAAGAATAATATATAGGTATGGAACTTAATATTACAATTGGTGATATATTCCGTCTAGAACTAACTTGGGAATATAGGCTAATCTTATTTTTGTTTAAAGTATCAAGTTCGTTATCCTTAGTATAATCTCATTTCACTACTTCACTACAGTAGATATACTACAGTGTATATACTACAGGATAGCACTACAGGATATTAGTACAGGATAGTAGTAAGGAATTTAGCACGGGATAGAACTATAGGGTAATACTACAGATACTACATGATAGTACTATAGGATAATAGCACAGGATAGTACTAAAGGATAATAGCACAGGATAGTACTACATGATAATACTACTGGATATCGCTATGACGTAATATCCAATGCGTAAACAGATTCGGGCCAAGAGAACCGTCCAGGCCTTTACTAACGGAAGGGGGGATGTGGTACGTAGCTGCTTTTTTATTTATATAGTTTTGCTCCTCTAATCAGATGAATCTACCAAAAAAAAAAGGATATTAGCACAGGACGGTACTACATGATAGTACTGGGCAATAAGACAGGATATTGCTATAGGATAGTACAATAGTACTGGAGAATGGACTATAGGAGAGCACTACCGTATACTAGTACAGGATATTAGCACAGGATATTAACACAAAATAGAAATATAGGATAGTAAGTAGTACTGGGTAGTAGCACGGGATAGTCGTACAGGATAGTCGTACAGGATAGTCGTACAGGTTATTAGTTCAAGATATTAGTACCGGATAGTAGTATAGGATAGTACTGGAGAATAATACGTACTACAGAATTGTACTACATAATAATACTACAGGATATTACTACAGGACATAAGCACAGGATAGTCGCACAGGATAGTACTACAGGATAGTACTACAGGATGGTACTACAGGATGGTACTATAGGAAGTACTACAGAATATTAGTTCAGGATAATACCACAAAATAAGACTACAGTAAGCAGAATATTAGTTTAGGATAGTACCACGGAATAGTACCACAGAATAATACTACAGTAAGTATTACATAATAGTTCTACAGGATAGTACTACAGGATATTAGCACAGAATAATACCACAAGATAGTACCACAGAATGACACCACAGAATAATACCACAGATACTGTCACGTGGTATCTGCCATGCACTTGTAAATGACCTTTCCGGAGAAGAAGTTTCAAATGACCAGCCTCACGCAACATATACCGACTGGTAGCGCGTTCGGAGTACGACCGCCTGGGACAAATGAAACGATAAGCGTCAACGACAAGCGGAAATTACGAGACAGAAACAAAATCCGTAAACCGGTATTTGCACTTCTTCACAAACACCATGATTAATTCGCATATATCAACTGCCTTCAGAGAATGGGACTAACAATGAAAACTGGACCAACTTCGGTCATGATTCATAAAGCACATCAAAAGTGAACGAAATCCGCAGGCTAGTGTCAAAGTGTGGAAATGCAGTCGAAAAGGCAGAAATAGACGAAGTGGCAAAACTCAGAGATATGGCCGCGTTCAAGGAAATGGACCCAATGAAAGTACCAAAGAACACCACTATTATGGGCACTAGATTCGTTCACACGGAAGACGAAACAAACAAAAAGGAAAGCGGCCGAGTGAAAGCACGACTAGTGGCTCAGGGGTTTTGACAGACAATCGGACCGGAGGAAACGTATCTGCTGGTCGCCCTGCCCGAATGTATCCGACTATTCATGACAGCAGCAGTCCAACTCGGACTAACCACGAAACAAATGGATGTACTGAGCGCACACCTTCACTTACTACTCGACGAGGCGGTCTATGTAAGGCCACCAAAAGATGTGAGAAATGTTGATCCAACCAAGGCACGGAAACTAGAAAAGGCATTGCATGGACTCAAGAATGCTGGACGAGCGTGGTTTGAGACTTTCAAAGAGAAGCTTGAAAACTGTGGTTTTGAAAGATCCGGATCAGACCTGGGACGATTTACGAAGGTGAGCTCAAGAGGAAAAATAATGCAGATCGCACCATACGTGGATGACTTATTGATCAGCTTCCAAGACAAGGAAGACTATGAAGAATTCAAACTATACATGAAAAGCGTCGCAAAGATAAAGATCAAGAATCTTGGTGATGTGAAGGAATTCTGCGGCACCGAGTTTGAAAAAATGGAAGGAGGATACAAGTTACATCAGAAGAGGTACTCGATAACTTACTCAGAAAGCACGAAACACACTTATTACCAGAGAAACAAAGGACCCCGATCAATGATTACGACCGATGGAAGTGCGAGGACTTGCTAAGTGAACAAGAATTGAAGAAGCACCAGGAGATCCTAGGAAGCTATAACTGGCTGGCGGGGATCAGTCGACCCGATATAAGGTACGGCGTGAGCAAATTTTGTTCTACCACACACAAATCAACGACACTAGACTTGGCGCATTTGAAACGAACGCTAATGTACCTCAGAGACACGAAGGGTGTCGGCATCGAGATACTAAAGAACAATTATCTAGAGAAGAAGATCAAACTTTATGCATTCGGCGATGCATCTTTCGCAAACGAGGGAGGCCGAAAGTCCAGAACAGGCTACATCATCTACATTGATGGAACGCCGATAGCGTGGAAATCCAAGAAACAAGGCTTGGTGACGACGAGTGCCTACCCATCAGAATACGTTGCGCTCAGTAACACAGTACACGGCGTGTTATGGTTGAAGGCACTCTGCAAGGACTTGAGCCTAGATAGAATAAAGGTGCCCACCATACTTGAAGACAACCGGGATGTTGTTTTGTCCGTTAATCGAACAGGAAGCAACCCCAGCAATAGCAAAACGGTGGATATAAAGGAGAAACATGTCCACGATAGAGTACAAAGGGGAGACATCACAGTGAAGACGGTCGGGACCGAAGATAACATCGCTGACACGTCCACTAAACCAGTACTGTATGTGCCTTTCGGGAGACACCACCCATGTTTGGGATTCTACAAGAGATATGCGATGAGAGTGATGGCGATATCCAAGTCCCAAGGTCATGGCGGGATCAACTGAGACGAATGACGAAAGACGAATGATGAAGTCCATGATTATCCCATTCCGGGGAGCGTCACGTGGTATCCGCCATGTAGTCACCCTCACGTGGCAAAGCAAAAAAAACTTCCGTACAGGGAGAGTTTTTTTCCTTCTCTTTTTTCCTTCTCTTTTTTCCTTCTCTTATTTTCCTTCTCTTTTTTCCTTCTCTTTTTTCCTTCTCTTATTTTCCTTCTCTTATTTTCCTTCTCTTATTTTCCTTCTCTTATTTTCCTTCTCTTTTTTGCCTTGAGGGTTTTTAGGGAGTAGTGGTGTTCTAAGGATCCCAAGTACCGTACATACTTGAATCGAGAAATCTGATACTGAATGATACTAGTCCGCGCACAGTAGATACGACCCATCGCCGCGCGCCGCCCACGTGACCGCGGCACGTGACCGCGGCCTGCCGTATCTCACCGGCTCAGCCAGGCGTCTTCTGCCCAACAAAGATCTCCGCTGCCGTAAAGTGAAAATGGCGCCTGGACCACCGAATCCAGCCCCCCGGCGGCGCGCCTCCGAGGATAACGCGCCCTTTGACCCGCGGTCCATGTCGGGCCTCATCTCCGTCAAGGACATGGGGAGCCGAGTGGCCGAGGCACCGGCAGACGGTGGAAATGCCCCTTTGACTTCTGCCAAAAACAGCAGCAGCACCGCGGCCCTCGGCCCGCCCATCCCCGCGGACCCCCTCGGCGTGCCGGGCCTGGCCGCCGCATACTACAGCGACCTCGCGGTGGAGCAGATCTCGTACCGTCCCTCGGACCCCGCCAACAGGGCCAGTTTCGAGCTCCTCACGGCCGAGGTGCGGGGCTTCATTCCCGACGAGCCGCACGGCGTGATTCTCCTGGCCGCAGACGCCATCTTGGAGGTTCTCAAGAGCGACGACAGCTCTGTTGGCGACAAACGCAGGCGCGTCGAGACGCTCCTATCCCGGAAGCTCGACGACATGGAAACGGCTCTGCTTGTGGCGCTTGCAGGCAGGATCACGGACCACGGGGCCGCGGCCGGCGCGGAGGGCTCTGCCAACGGCGACGGCGCGGTGGCGGTGGTGTTTGAGGACGACGAAAACGAGGACCGCGCCGCGCCGGTTTTGGAGCCCGAGAGCCCGCCGAGCCCCGGCCCCGGCGCGGGTGCCGGCGGGGCCTTGGACGCGGACGCGCCGCCGCGGGCACTTCCCGAAAGCGGCGTGACGATTGCGGCCAAACCCGGCGCCGCGGCGCCGCCTCCCATCGCCCTCAAAGACGTGACGAAGGACTTGCTTTTCCGCATGCTTCTGAAAGCGGAGCCCGGCAAGGACCGCCAGGACGTCGTGGATACATGCAGGGCCATCTCCAAGGCCATCATGAGCAAGGACGCCGGCGCGGCCGCCTTGGAGGCGTCTCTCATGGACATCTTGCAGTACCAGCACCTCGAGCTCGTCAAGTTCTGCGTGCAGAACAGGGACCGGATTGCCTGGGCGACCCGCTTGCGCGCCAACAGGGCCAAGACCATCGAGGAGTTGAGGGCCGCGGGCGCAGCGGAGCTTCTAGCGGAACTTGGCGAGGCCCCGCGCAAGCGGAGGCTCTCGGCCGCCAGCCCAGAGGACCCCAAGCGCATGAAGACGGCCACGGACTCGCCCAGCGCCGGGGCCGCGGAAAACCCCCGCTCCCCCGCCGCGCGGCAACCGCGAGTCGTCGACCTTGAGGGTCTTGTTTTCGACCAGGGCCCGCAGCTCATGGCCGCCGCCAAGGTCGTGCTTCCCAAGGGCTCCTTCCAGCAGAACAAGAAGCTCTACGACACAATCAGCGTGCCTGCGCCTGCAGGGCCGCCGTCGTTGGAGGACGCGGGCGAGAAATTGGTGGCCATCGGCGACATGCCCGCGTGGGCGCGGCCGGCGTTTCCGTCGGCTGAGACCTCGACGTTGAACCGCATCCAGTCAAAGGTGTACCCGGCGGCGTTTCTTTCCGACGACAATCTCCTCTTGTGCGCGCCCACCGGCGCCGGGAAAACAAACGTGGCCATGTTGGCCGTGCTAAGAGTGCTCCACAACTTCCGCAACCCCGACACGGGCAAACTCGACTTGAAGGGCTTCAAGGCCGTGTACGTGGCCCCCTTGAAGGCACTAGTGTCGGAGCAAACGCGCGAATTCCAGAGACGCCTCTCGGCTGAGTATGGCATCGTGGTGAATGAGCTCACGGGTGATCTGTCCCTCAGCCAAAAGGAGATTGCCGAGACGCAGGTTCTCGTGACAACGCCCGAGAAGTGGGACGTGGTGACGAGGAAGGCCACGGACGCCCTGTATACCAAGCTCGTCAGACTATTGATCATCGATGAAATCCACCTCTTGCACGACGACAGAGGGCCCGTTCTAGAAAGCATCATAGTCAGGGCCAAGCGGCTGCCCGACACGCGGCTCGTTGGACTCTCCGCCACTTTGCCCAACTATGAGGACGTCGCGCAGTTCTTGGGCGTCAACTTGAAGCTGGGGCTCTTCTACTTCGACGCGCTGTTCCGGCCGTGCCCCTTGGAGCAGCAGTTCATCGGGATCAAAGAAAAGAAGGCCATTTTGAAGGTTGCCGCCATGAATGAGGCCTGCTACGAGAAAGTCGTGGAGTGTCGCAAAAACGGACATCAGGTCATCATCTTCGTCCACTCCCGCAAAGACACCGTGAAAACGGCCAAGTGGCTTGCTGAAAAAGCTGCCGATAACAATGTCGCTGTGAGCAACCCGAGCGTTGGAACACAGGAAATTTTGAAGCAAGAGGGGGAAAACGCGCAAAACAGAAACCTCGCCGAAGTACTCCCCACCGGCTTTGGCATTCACCACGCTGGCCTCAACAAGGCTGATAGGAGCGTGGTGGAAGATCTTTTTGCCCAAGGCCATATCCAGGTCCTTGTTTCGACTGCCACCTTAGCGTGGGGTGTCAACTTGCCGGCGCACACTGTGATCATCAAAGGAACAGAAACGTACAACCCTGAAAAGGGCTCCTGGGTCCAGCTCTCGCCCCAGGATATTCTTCAAATGCTTGGCCGTGCTGGTAGACCGCGCTATGACGTCTCGGGAGAAGGTGTCATCATCACTGCTCAAGATGAGCTCCAATACTACTTGGCCATTTTGAACCAGCAGCTCCCCATCGAGTCCCAATTCATGAGCCGCCTAGCCGATAACCTAAATGCAGAAATCGTGCTTGGCAAGGTGCGCTCTCGCAATGACGCTGTTGAGTGGTTGGCGCAGACTTACTTGTACATTCGAATGCTCAAGTCACCCAAGCTTTATCAAGTCGGGGCTGAGTACGAGAATGACGAAGCATTAGTTTGGAAGCGGACTGATTTGGTGCACTCGGCTTTGGTGATCTTGCAACAACATAAACTTGCTCACTATGACGCCTCAACCGGACAAGTTGCTGCTTCTGAATTGGGACGAGTGGCCGCCCACTTTTACATTGGTCATGAAACGATTGCGGTTTACAATGCCAATCTCAAGCCTTGGATGTCGGAAATCGACGTTCTCCAAATATTCTCCTTCTCTGGGGAGTTCAAGTACGTTCCCGTCAGGCAAGAGGAGAAAATAGAGGTCTCGAAGCTTTCAGAAAAGTGCCCGATCGCCATCAAAGAGAACCCCAGCGACCCGCATGCCAAGATAAACGTCTTGCTTCAGGCTTACATTACCAGGTTAAGACTTGAGGGGTTTGCCCTCACGGCTGACATGATCTACATCACACAATCCGCTGGAAGGTTGTTGCGTGCCATTCACGAAATATGCTTGAAGAAGAAGTGGGCCCAGCTTGCTCGGGTGACTTTGGATCTTTGTAAATTCGTGGAAAGGAGAATGTGGAACACCAACTCCCCCTTCAGGCAGTTTGGTGACCTTGCACCAGCAAATGTCATAAAAGCAACTGAAGCGTCGCACTTGCCATTCATGAGCTATTTCCAATTGAGTGCAGCCGAGCTTTCTGAGGCAATCAACTTCAAAGGCAGTAGTCAGCTTGCTTATGATTTGCTTCGGCAGTTTCCCAAACTATCCGTTGAATGCCAGGCCCAGCCTATCTCACCCACTATGGTCAGGGTTCTGGTGGATGTGTACCCCGAATGGGAGTGGAACTGGAAGATACACGGCTCGTCTGAGTCATTTTTGTTGCTTGTGGAGGATTGTGATGGCGAGCAAATTTTATACGACGAAATTGTGAAAATCACACCAAAAACGGTCAACAGAGGCTTTGCGGTCGATTTCACTGTGCTGACTCCAGACCCTTTACCGCCTGCCATGTTTGTCGCTTTCAGCAGTGAAAAATGGCTCCACTCTCAATGGAGGGCTCCTATCAAGATGTTTGATATGCGTCTTCCCAAGGTACCACATAACTCAACGGAAGTTCTTGATGTGCAAAGTGTTCCTACAAGCTCATTGAAAAATGATTCTTTTGAAAAAACTTTCTCCTTTTCTTACTTCAACAAATTCCAATCTCAGTGTTTCCACTCCCTTATGAACACGAACGAAAATGTATTCATTGGGCTTTCCAAAGGATCTGGTAAAACAGCCTGTGCGGAGTTGGCAATTTTGAATACTTGGAGGCAGAACAAGCAAAGAGTGGTGTACATTCTGCCCACTGCAGAGCTAGTAGAAAGACAACGAACCGTATGGGCCAAGAAATACGCGAGATTCACAGAGCCTCCCAAAGTTGTGGCAAAACTTACTGGAGATTTATCTGCGGATGCAAGAGTATTAGCACAGAGCCACTTGGTGCTCGCAACTCCCGAACAGTTCGATGCAGTGTCTCGTCGTTGGCGCCAAAGAAAATCAGTGCAGCAGCTAGACCTCTTGATTGCCGATGACATACACATGGTAGGCAGTGGCTCTCAAGGCGCCGTATACGAGACTGTCCTTTCCCGAATGAGGTTCATGACAGCTCATCTTGGTCGTGAACTTAGAATTGTTGGTTTATCCCATCCGTTGACATACGGCCGAGAAATTGCAGATTGGTTGGGCTGTAAGAAGCCGCACGTTTACAATTTCGACCCAATGGCCAGGTTCCGTCCAGTTCAGGAAATCAAAATTCTACCCTACACAGAGCCGCAGTTTTTGGAAGCTTTTGTGAAGAGCTGTTCGGAGGCTGTGATAGGCAAGTGTCCGGAAACCTCTTTGGTCTTCGTGCCCACGAGAAAAACTGCAATGAATATAGTATCCGTGGCATTAGAATCGAAAGAAACCTTTCTTACGACAGACTTAAGTGAAATCAAGTCTTTGACGGACAAAGTTCTGGACGCGCAGCTACAACAAGCCTTAGAGAAAGGAATTGGTCTTTATTACGAGGGTATGAATGCAAGAGACCAGCTCATTGTTGAAAAGTTGCTCGAGAACAAGCTTGTTGGTTTTGTTCTTGCGACGAAAAACACATCAAACTACGCACCACAAGCCGATAATGTCATTATTTTTGGCTCACAAAGCGCGGACGATCATCATGCAAATGACTATTTTCTCAATGATATTTTGAACATGGTGGGATGTTGCGCGAACGGGAACGTATTGGCTTACCTATATGGCCCCAAAGTCGCATACTACTCCCATTTCTTGAGCAATTCATTGCCCGTAGAAAGCAACTTGAACTTCAGTTGCCAGGATGTTTTCATGCAAGAGATCGCAGCAAGGACTTTTCTGACCAAACAAGATTGCATCGACTGGATCACATACACCTTATTCTATCGACGCTTGACGCAGAACCCCAGTTTCTACGGGCTTTCAGATGTCAGCCACATTGGAATCTCGGAATATCTTTCAGAATTGGTTGAAACCACTTTAGAAGACTTGGAGAAGGCTGACTTGGTCGAGATCGAAGATAACGATGACGAAAATGACACTGATGATGGCACGGACGAGGAGGAGGAAGAGCGTCTTTCGCCTTTGAATGGGGCCATGATTGCAGCCCATTATACAGTACTGTTCCAGTCCATGAAAACATTGGGTCAGTTGACCAGCAAGGCTAGATTACGAAACATCATCGAGGCGATCACTTCTGCGTCCGAATTCGATGACGTTCCGGTGCGGCCAGATGAAGAGGCGGTTCTCTCGAAAATTGCCCGTCAAGTGCCCTTGAAGTTGGCTAGCGACACAGATTTCATGTCGTCGCAGGTCAAGGCATTCTTGTTGGTCCAAGCGCATCTCACCCGAATCAGGTTGCCGGCGGAATTGGCTCTCGATCAAAAGAAACTTCTTCCGCGGGTCCTTAAATTGGCGCATGCATGTGTCGACACTCTTTCTAGTGAAGGATATTTGAATGCGCTCCAGGCCATGGACTTGTCTCAAATGGTCGTTCAAGGAATGTGGAATCGGGAGAGTCCGCTCCGGCAAATTCCTCATGTGAATGAGGGCATGTTACAGCGAGGCAAGAAGTACAATGTGGAGACCATCTACGACATAATGTCGCTCGAGGACGACGAGCGCGACGAGGTGCTTCAACTCGAAGGCCGCCAGCTCCAAGATGTGGCGGAGTTTGTCAACAAATATCCGAACATCGATGTGCTGTACGAGTTTGACACGTCTTCTACGGTGAAGGCCGATGAGCCTCAAACCATATTGGTCACTGTGGAGAGAGACGAAGAGCCCGAGGATCTTGAGGTTGTCTCGTCGCGGTATCCGGAGAAGAGGACGGAGACGTGGTGGATTGTGGTTGGAGACTTCGAGACACGCCAGTTGTATGCAATTAAGAAAACACAGGCGCCTCGTGAGTCACAAACCATTGCGGTGGAGTTTTCTATCCCGACTCCTGGGAAACACAAGTTGACCGTGTGGTGTATGTGCGATTCCTACATTGATGCCGACAAGGAAATGGCTGTGGAAATCGATGTTGTTGAGTGAGCTCTCTGCGAGGGCTAGCGAACACCATGGAAGACCAGCAGCCCTAGGTTGGAGCGACCACGATTAAGACGTAATTGTTCCGTATGGGATTGTACAGTTGTTAAGGAACTATCTTGCCATGTTGATAATGGCACGCATCACCAAGGGAATGTGCTGGGTCCTTCTATCTAGCAAAATGTTTTGAAGTGGTCGACGCGCACAATCACTGCAAAACCTTGATCAATGTTGTGTGCGTTTGATAGAGAAAGCCAGAGATGAGAGAAAGAAGCGACCATGGAGGGTCGGAAAGGACAGGGTCGGAAAACGGTGGACGGTAGAATGATAGCATGGGACCCGAAGATCTATAGTGCAGAAAGGTATGAAAAACTATCCAACAGACATAGACAGACATCAGATGATCATGTCAAGGAATTGTAAAAGCGATGGAGCTCAACAAGCAAATCGAAGGAATTGATCATAAGAAAATACCGTCAAGAAATTCACCAAGTGCTGATAGTAATCCGCCGTCCTAGATGGGTCTTTGACTAGACAGTCAAATTTAAGGTCGGTCATGTCCCTTAGTTTTCTGAACTTTATGCAATCGTGTCAGACAACTACATTAAACCAATTTACCAATCAATCAAGTTCAACCAGCATATTTACCCATTCCACCAAACAATTACATGAGCCAACACGCCAGCAATAACATCAATAGTTATAATCAAAAATCAAATCTATAAAAAAATATCAAAATATTCAAACATTTCACGGTAGTACCACAAAAACGTCCCGTCCACCGAAATCTATTAAACAACTTGTTACATCAATTGGTCATGTAAAATAGATTATATCAAGAAAATCCAAAGAATTTCCAAAACGAATCTTCCAAGAAGCTGCTCCAAAACATCGTCCAAACAAAGGTTCCAAACTACATAGAAATTGTCCCGAAACAACACCAAAGAGGAATTTCAACCAACCATACTAAATCAATACACCACAACACTCGGGCCAGGCCAGACGCGCTCACGCAGCGCGCTCACGTGACCGCGGCACGGCACCATCGCGCGAACGTAAACAGCATTCTGTACTAATCTTCCCACCACCATTTCTAAAGGCACCAGAAGCACACCAAACACCCGATGTTTTCGCTCGGAAGACTCCCGAGGCTTTCCCGGGAAAAGGAGTCTGGGCTTGAATTTGTGCCGATCGGCCAGCGCGTGGTGTCGCCACGAAAACCGGCGCCATCTTCAAACCCTCGGGTCCGATTAACCGCCGACAAAATCAACAACACACACATCGACTCGTCCTTTGACGAAACCACCCAGGATTTCGGCGCTTTAGACGCGGATGCGCCTGTGCGCGTTTCAACCGGCTCGCGGCTGGCAGGCGCCGGCTGGAGCTCACGGGGTAATTTTGCCAGTACCTTGGAGCAGCGGAGTCAGGCTGTGGACGGCGGCCAAAGCTCGATCCAGAGCCTCCAGGCAGACTCGCAGCAGCTCAAGTCGGAGAACTACAATTTGAAGGTGGAAGTGGCGACCTTAAAGCAGTTCTTGAAGCAGACGCCGCCAGAAACAAGGGAGTTGGTCCTGCAGAACGCGGCGTTGAAGCAGGAGCTCATCAAAACACAAAACGAGCTCGAGCAGGTCCGCAGTCACGCTGAAAGCGCACCGCGGCAAGATCGCGAGCACAGTGCCGGCTTGGACTCGTTGAAGCGGCTGTATAGAGAGTCTCTAGAAGAGAAGGACCAAGAGATCCGGCGCCTCCAGCGGCAGATAGCCGAGCTCTCGCACGTGCTGCCGCTGCCGCCGCAGATCCCGCAAGAGCTTCTTGACAAGATGGAGTTTCTCCAGAACGAAAACCAGGCCCTTCTCCGACAGCTCGAAGGGGCGTCTGCCTCCTCCAGCAAGACACAGGGCCAGTTGCAGGGCGAGAACAATGAACTCCGGCTCGACTTGCATCGCGCAAAGGCGCAGCTTGCCGAGCTTCCCGCGGACGCCGTCCAGCAGATAGACCATCTCCGCAAGACCAACGACACGCTACTGCAGAAAATGCGCACGGTCTCCAACGAGCTTCAGCAGGCAGAAGCCGAGAGAGACTCGATGCAAATGTCGCTTCGGAACTTGCAGCTGTCCGTCGAGGAGAAGCAAGCCAAGATCGACAGCCTTGCCCGCTCTAGGGAGGAGTCGGCCACCTCCAAAAGCAGGACTTTGAGAGAAACGGACGCCCAGCTAGAGCGTGCTCAGCATGAGGTGGCGGATTTGAAGCTCAAGTTGAAAAGAGCCGACGCCGCCCAGGCACTGCTCGCGGAAGAAAAGTGGTCCGACGTGCAGCGGCTCCAGAGAAAACTCGACTCCCTACTGAAGGAGATCAAGGAAAAAGACCGCGACGAGTACAACTTGAGGGAGCAAGTCCGCTCGCTCATGGAGGAGCGCAACAAGGCTTTTGACAACCAGTCTACAGTAAACCACTACCAGGGCCAAATCGACGCCCTACGCGAGAAAGAAAAGACGCTTATGACGGACAACCTCGAACTCAAAGACGAAATTGCCAAGCTCCAGGATGAACTCTACTCCCGCAACATAGATTCAAGCAGAGCTGGTAAGCTCAAGCAGGAAAACTTGGACTTGCTTGACAGGCTCGACTTCTATGAGAAGGAGTACGCTCTCACGCAAGAAGCAATGGAGGCCACTGAGGCTGAATTGGAGGCTTTGCGCACAAGACAGAAACAGGATGATGCTCGCAGACACTCTCTCGAAACAGAGCTAGAAACGGTGCGAACCCAGCTCAGGCGAGTTGAACTAAGCGAATCTCGCAAATACAATGAGTCTGCTTACATGGAACTCGAGGAAAAACACCGAAAGCGAGAGGAAGCGGATCACTGTCGGATGACACTGCAAATAGAAAGATTGAATGCTCAGGTCCGCGAATTAGAGCAGCAACTTGATTCAGCCAAGCAGACCAGGGAGACATTTCCAAGTCTCAACTCATACGAGCCTACCCAGGAAAGCAGGCTCAAGGTTGACTTGAGGAACAAAGAGTTTGAGTTGCAAGAAAGGCAGCGAGACTACTCAAAGCTCCAAAACGTTTTGAAAGATAAAGAAGACCTTATAGATGCACTTGAGGAACGCATTAGAAAACTCAACAAAGATTATCGGACCGACTTCAGTGCTGAGGATCGTTATCGAGAAACACTACAGAAACTTCAATTTGACCACGAGTCTGAACTTCTTGCTGTGCTGCTAGAAAGAGATCGACTTCAGAATGAGATCAAACACTACAAACTCCGATTGGAGAAGATGATGGAGGACGATGACACTCAGATTCCCACTGGTGCAAACTCGGTTACAATTGCTTTACTAGAGACCCAGCTTGAAGAGTTGCGCCGCAAGAATCACGAGCTAATGGCCGATGCTGAGCGGGCAAGCGCTGCCCGCTTCGAAAGCACAAGCCGTGAGGCCGATGAGTATCGCTCTAAAATCAGAGATCTTCGATTTGCACTCAACGACGCTCAGCAAGAAAAAAGTGACTTAGAAACTACACGAGACGCGTTGGAAAGCGACTTGAGTCTACTTCGTTCAGAGAAGAGTCGCTTTGAAACCAGAAACAGAAGCTTGTCTCAAGAGCTCACAAAGAACGCAAGAAATTGTACAAGACTTGCAAATAAAGTGCAAGACCTAGAAAGTCAGATTGCCAGCTTACTGAAGGCCGCAGATGACACGTTCAAGGCACAAAAGTCAAACATTCAACTTCAAAACCAGGTTGATCAGCTCGGTGCAAGACTTGCAACAGCCAACCTAAGCTCCCAGCCTAACCAGATGCTCAATGTTACCAAGTCTAGACTACAAGAGAATGAATTAAAATACTTCAAGGCAAAACTTTTCGAGCTACAAACGAGATATATGGATTTGGCTATGATAAACTCATACATGGTTTCTTCGATCAGAAGCTCATACGAGTCGTGCAAAGATGACTTGGTCAAGATGTCTCAATCTGGTGTTTATCCAGACTACTCAGCTCTCAATCGCAGAAGTAAAAAGGTCACTTTCAAAGTCTTAGCGACTTTCGTCTTGAGTATGGTACGCATGAAGAGACGAACAGAGAAGGCTAAGGTGCGAGAGGGCAAGTTGATGCGGCTCCGGAGCGATATTGAGAGAGACAGAATAACACTTTTGGTGGAAAAATAAAAAGGCTGTTAATCAATCATAATAGCAAGTTGCTTCCAAGTTGCTGACTAGCGCATGATTCTGGTAATAGGGGTCTGAAACTTGTCTTGAGAAGGCTGACGTGTCTTCCCGACTCTCGGAGTTTGTAATGGCGCCGGCGCCTGATGAAGTGGAGCTGCATGAGTGCCGCTATTAGACCTTGTTTTAATGTGGCTGAACGTATGATTTCCCAGATACTCTGAAGTTGTATTTAGCCACAATTCGTCATGAGAGATGTTGCAAGCCAGCGCATCAGCATTGAGGGACATGTCCGCATTGTACCCATTGGAAAGAAACTCGTTGAGCGCAAGTTCATCTGCTGGTACCAGGGAACTAGAAATTGAATTTAAAATTGAAGCATCTGGGAGTCTTTTGAGGGTCGGGGCTGTTCGGAGCCCATCCAAATTGAGATCAGTCCATACTTTATTTTTCAACAAATTACGGTTCTTGTACACCTTGGCGCCGAATATTGATGAGCTTAGCGGGATAGCCCCATCTTCTTCTTCTTCGAGTAAAAACTGTGGGAAAATGTTTGCCGTTTCTTCGAACAAGCGCGTTGTGTCGATATCGTTGTATGGGATGCGGTAATCTTTCCAGTCTTCCATATAATCTGCCTGGTTCACGTGGCTGAAATGAACATAAGAATACTGTGAATCTAATGACATCGCAGCAATTTATATTCCTGAAATATGCTTATATTAAAATGTGGTGAAAAAAAACTGGGAGGTAGCGAAGTGCTTTATTTGTATTTCACATCAAAGTCGCGCACTGCCCAGGATCTTATGCTCTATACAGTTGTGACGAATTGTCCGTCTTTTTGCCCCACGTTCCATAACGTGAAAACCCTTTTTTCCTTTTTTCTCTTTTTATGCTGCGACTGGAACCTGACACAAGTTCTCAAACAACGTGGGCTTAGGTTCCAAATGTTTTTCTTCAACATGGGAAGTCTTGACCATCTTGAACGCTCCGGTACCAATGCTCATGGTCTGACCAAGAATAATACATTCGGAGACACCCTCGATTTTGTCATTTTTCATGTAGAAAGAGGCATCGAACAAATGATCGGTAGTCTTCTCGAACGAAGCAAGCTGCAAAACAGAGTCTCTCATTTTGGACAAACCAAATCTGGTGATACCCAAAACTTCACCCTTGTATGTCATGACATCACCTAAAAGCTGAATATGACGGGGATCGACACTCATACCGTGCTTACTCATAGTGTAGTCAATTTCACCGATGATCGAAGCTCTGGCGGCCTCGATACCCAAAACTTGCCAGATTTCAAGTACGTGGTTGGTCGATGTTTTGGTGCCAATCACTCCGTCAGTGCACATGACCTCCTTCAATCCATAACCTTCAACTAACAATTCCTTTTTGTTGTCATCTTTGATATTGATGACTGCACGTGAAATATTTGGCAATCCTTTAATCACGACATCAGGCAAAGCTCTCTTTAAGTGTTGCATTCTGAAAAACAAAGTATTGTTACGCTCGGAGTTTTTGTAGTCAGAAATGGCGGTCCGGGCTAGAGACTCTGACTTAGCCTCTCTCATTGTAACAAGGATGTTGATTCTGTCCTTACCATAGACAGAAACTTCATGGTTCAATATCTTCAACTTAGGAGCGTTTGCCACAGCCTCGCGGATATTATCTAGCGTCAACTCCAATTGCAATTTTTCGATAGTCTTCGTGTCAATTTTAACGGAGAGGAATGCCATGTCATTTTTGTAAACATCTTCAATGAAGAACGCGACATCTCTTAACAAAGTTTTTTCAATACGACCCTTCACGACTCTGGCTGCGAGTTCATCGTCGTCATTGACAAGAACGGAATTGATGATGGGTGTAGAAATGACCTTTGCGGCATTGATGATTTCCTTAATACGGGGCACACCCAAAGTGACGTTCATAGAAGCGACACCAGCGAAATGGAAAGTTTTTAAGGTCATCTGAGTACCAGGCTCACCAATAGAGTGTGCACCAATAGCACCCACGGCTGTACCAGGTTCGACCTTTGCTCTCACGTACTTGTAAAGGCATTGCTCCATGAACTTTTTCACGGATGGAAGAGAGATCTTCAAAAGTTGGTCGACTGCATTGACGCTCGAGGGATCTTCTTCTAGCAACATATCGTCGATATCTTCTAGTCTTGAAAATTTAGGAGGCAATCCTTTACTTTGTCGTATTGTGGCCAATAGAGTGGCCTTTTTGGTCACATATTCACGGATGGATTTGTAAAAGGACCTCTCGGCATCTTTCTGATCAATGAATTGGATATTCTCGCCAAATTCCGCAGGAATGACCTTACCAAGATTGTCATAACGGATAAGTCTCTTTTCCAAGGGCTGCAAGACATCTTCAACCGCCTCAAGAATTTGGTATGGATAGGAGTTCTTGGCATTGATGTCGAATGTGATGTTGAGAGCATGGTCCCATTGACGGTTGAAGTTTACTGGTTGGGCATCACCTTCCATTTCCATAGGGTCTAACCCGTCACCACCGTAAGTAAACTGGACAATACCATTCGAAGAGTTACGCACAGTGTTGTCGTACAGCGCAGACAAATCTTCCAAAGATTTCATGAGTCTTCTCGACATGTACCCTGTCTCAGCAGTTTTAACGGCAGTATCGACCAAACCTTCTCTTCCCGAAATAGCGTGAAACAAGAACTCTGGAGGACTCAACCCACTGTAGAAAGAGTTTCTGACGAAACCCTTAGACTGGGGCGACTTGGACATCTTGGTGAAATGAGGCAACGATCTGTCTTGGAACCCATCAGGGACACGATTACCAGAAATAATCTGTTGACCCACAACAGCCACCATCTGCGACACGTTCAAAGTGGAACCCTTCGATCCGCAAGTAGCCATAATCAATGGAGCGTTGAGAGGATCCAACTCGTTGATACACACCTCACCGACTTCTTCTCTAACCTTGGAAAGCAAACCACCAATTTTAGCCTCCAAGGTTTCCTCCTCGTTACAACCAGGTTGAGTCTCCAACTTCCCGCTGTTATACAACTTGATCAATTCGTCACACTTGGCGTACGCTTGCTCGACCATGACCTCTTTCTTGTTCTTCAAGTCAGAGCCGGGAGTGACATCGTTGATACCAATGGAAAAGCCACGGTTGCCGAGGAATCTGGCACAAAGCTTGGCCATTCTGTTCATTGCAGTGGCAGCTTCGCTGGGGCCATAATCTCTCAAGATTGTGTAAAATACGGAGTGTTTCTTACCGTCACCAAGAAGGGACTTGTCCATGACACCACTAAGGATCTGGGAGCCGCGGATAACAACGAAGCCATCATTGGGCGACATTTCGTTGGGCCATCCGTTGGAAGGCGGGTGGAAGGTTTTGTTTTTGGCGTCCAAGTTGATCACGACATTCGACTTCTTGTTGGGCTTGATCAACAATGAGAAGACCTGCTTTCCTGTCCAGAGCATTACCGGCTTGAAGATGGAAGGTGGAGGCAAGTCAAACTGGAGGTCTGCGTCAGACATCATGCACAAGAGCTGGACCAAGGTGGCTCTGTCGAAGAAGGTGTCCTTGTGGGAGATCAAAAAGGAACCAGTGATGAAATCCTGAGTGGCGGCGATGATGGGCTCACCGGACTTGGGGGTCAAGAGATTGTTCTTGACGCCCATCAAGTTGATGGCCTCGGCCCTGGCTTCTTCGGTCTGAGGCACGTGCAAGTTCATCTCGTCACCGTCGAAATCTGCGTTGTACGGCGTACACACACACTCGTTGAGGCGGAAGGTTCTCCAGGGCCTGATTTTGGCGTAGTGGGACAAGATGGACAATCTGTGCAAGGAAGGCTGTCTGTTGAAGAGCACGACGTCGCCGTCCTCCAAGTGGCGCTCGACGGTGTCGCCGATGTTCAAGGAGCGGGCGAGCTTGACACGGTCACCGAACTTCAAGTTGCGCTTGGCCATCTCGTTCTGTTTGAGCACGTAGTTGGCGCCCGGGTGCACGTTGGGCCCGTTGAGAATGAGCTTCTGGAGCTTCTGGCGGTTGTAGCGCGTGCACTTCTCGGGGTAGGTCAAGACCTTGGCCACGCGGTCTGGCACGGCGACCTCGTCGATCTTCAAGTTCGGGTCCGGCGAGATGACCGTGCGGCCGGAGAAGTCGACTCTCTTTCCGGACAAGTTCCCGCGGAAACGGCCCTGTTTTCCCTTCAAGCGCTGGCAGAAGCCGCGGATGGGCTTGCTGCTCTTGGCGGACGCGCCGGGGCCCATGCCGCCCGGGAGGAGCGCCGGGTTGGCGGAGTCCGAGTTGATGTACATGGCCACGGAGAGCTGCAAGTAGTCCCACTGCTCCATCAAGTTGTTGATGGAGATGCCCTTGTCAATGCCCGCCTTGATCAAGGACGAGGTCCACACGATCTCCGTCAACTTGACGGTCAAGTCGTCCTCGTTGGACTGGTTGTCCATCATCACGGACGGGCGGATGCACACGGGCGGCGCCGGCAAGTACCGCCAGAGGTACATTTCCGGGCGGCCGCCGCGCGCCGCGTCGATGCCCACGAGCTCGCAGTCCGCGGGCGCCATCTGCTTGAAAAGATGCAAGACCTTGAGCGGGTTCAAGTCCTCGCTGACGCGCTTGGCAAACTTCTCCAACTCCGGGTTGCGTGCGTACACGTCCTGGAACTCGCGGTCCCAGAGCTCCTTCTCCGGGGTGCTTTTCTTGCCGATGTAGCGGAACGTGTCGTGCACGATTTTGAGCGCCGCGGGCCCGGCGCCGGACGCGGCCTTCTTGACCACGCCGTTGACGTGGTGGCACGCGAGGCACCGCCGCTGTTTCTTGCACTGTTCCGTGACTTTCTTCAAGATCTTCATGCGCCGCAAGTTGTCGATGTGCGGCCGCCGCAAGTCCGCGACAAACAGCCGCTTGGCCTGCTCGTCGAGCAACACCGCGCCGCACGTCTTGCAGATGCACTGGAGCACCTGGATCACGGCCTTGAAGTAGCCCACGTGGAACACGGGGAGCGCGAGCCGCACGTGGCCAAAGTGCCCGTGGCACAGCGCCAAGTTGCCGTGGCACGTGCGGCACTCCACGGCGTTGGACGACGTGCCCATGCGCGTGTCGAGAGCGCCGTGGTCACAAACCGAGCGGCCCTTGTTGAGGTCGTACAAGTCGCGCGTGGTGATCTCGACCTCGGACTGCGCCACGATGTCTTTGGCGGCGAGCGCACCGAACTCTAGGCCCTTGATGCACTTGGGCGCCTCGTCGATGACGACCTCCTTCATAGTGGGGGGAGGGGCGGAAGAACTGAGGGGGGAGAAGGATGGGAGGATGGCTGGGTTTGGATGATGGGAAGAGGAGGTTTTTTTTCTGGCGCGCGGGGCGGGTCACGTGAGCGGCCGCGCCGGTGTCTGATCCGCAGGCAGGCGGCGGATCAGTCTTCTGTGGGGTGTAGGCAGGATCAGGCTCAAGGTAGGATCAGGCTTTGGGTAGGATCAGGCTTTGGGTAGGATCAGGCTTTGGGTAGGATCAGGTTTTGGGGGTGGTTTCGTGCCGAGCTCGGGTGCTTTCTCTGGGGAAGAAAAACAATAAAAATAGTCAGAAAAATTGAAAACAAAAAACAGACAATAAAAAAACAATTAGAAACAATAAAAAACAATAAAAAAACAATAAAAAAACAATAAAAAAACAATAAAAAAACAATAGAAAAACAATAAAAAAACAATAGAAAAAATAATCCGGGAATGCTGGCGAAAATGAACGCGGTGGGTGGTGATGACAGGGTCCTCCGAAATGCAGTCAAGCGTACATTAGTAGGTGCACC